CTGAGCCACCTTCCCAGCCCCTGTATGGTATTTTCACAATAAAAAATTTTCAAAAACCCTCTGTACACCACTTTTATAACAAAATTAAATTTAAAAGTACAATGCCTGACACATACATGCAAATATAAGCTTCCTTTTCTCTCCCTATTCCTTTCATTTGCTTGGATTCAACTTAGCCAGAAGTACTAAAATTAAAATAATAATAATAATGAAAAGAAGAAGGAGGAGGAGGAGGAGGAGGAGGAGGAGGAGAAAGTAGTACATGACTCAGAGTAGGACCAATACAAGAGTTCCCATCTCCCCTAATGACATGGTCCATCCTTACCGAAATGGAGAAAGATCATCCATTTTGAGTGACTTTTCATATTCTTCACTGTTCTTAGAAGAAATTTCAAGGTCTGTTTGGTGGGAACCTGGTAATATTAGCAGACGTCACCACATCTCTTGTTCCATGCTAGTTCTCTAAGAAAGGGGGCTCCTTACACATTTCTAATGCATCTCTGCGGCAGAAAGCCTGGCGCACATTCAGTAACAATGATTTCAAAGGATCATTAACAATAACTAAGTGGATGAATATATACAGACCAGACTGATTCTGTTGGACAAATGGGAGCAAGCATAGCCTTGCGTGACTTTATTTATTACATATGGAATTGTCCACTTTAGCACTTTAACATGGTTAGGCAAATTGCAATCCCATCTGCAGATGAAAGATGATCACGTCAAATGTACTGTCATAGAAAGTTCTTTTTTTTTTTTCTTTTTTTGGGTCCGGTCATGGGACCTGAACTCTGGGCCTGGGCGCTGTCCCTCAGCTCTTCAGCTCAAGGCTAGGGCTCTACCACTTGAGCCACAGAGCCACGTCTGGCTTTTTTCTTTTTGCTTATGTGGTGCTGAGGAATCGAACCCAGGGCCTCATGCATGCGAGGCAAGCGCTCTACCACTGAGCCACCTTCCCAGCCCTGTCATAGAAAGTTCTTAAGCAGAGAGGAAAGTACTTGTGATGACACATTAATAATCTCAGTACACAGAAATACTGAATGCATCCAGGGTAACCTAGTATGTTAAAAAAAAAAAAAGAAAGAAAGAAAGAAAAAAGCCTAAGAGTGGGCACCAGTGGCTCACGCCTGTAATCCTAGCTACAGAGGCGGCTGAGATCTGAGGATCTCAGTTCAAAGCCAGCCTGGACAGGAAAGGCCTTGAGATCTTCTTTCCAGTTAACCACCAGAAAACTGAAAGTGGTGCTGTGACTCAAGCGGTAGAGTGCTTGCCTTGAGCTGAAGAGTTGAGGGACAGTGCTCAGGCCCAGAGTTCAAGCCTCATGACTGACAAAAAAAAAAAAAAAAAAAAGCCCAAGAATGAAATCAGAGAAATTTGCTATAATATGGTAAATAAGATGTTAAGCTGATTGTAATTGGTGATAGATTCTTTTTCCTGTCTTCTTTTACTTTTCATTACTATTCATTGGGTCTTTAAAAATACATATCTAATTTCTACCATCATAAAAGGTTAGTTGTAAGTCATAAACCATATGAAAATACAAGAAAAGAATCAACAACCAAAAGTGGTGCATGCATGTTGTACCCACAGTTGTCTACTTACCTTGTTGAGACTGTGACTGTTTTTCTGCCTTTTCTTTTGTTCCTGACAGATACTCCTTATCGTACTTCTCTCTGACAGTGCTGACTCTCTCAGTATCCATTTCAGACATTTTTTTCTGATTTAAAACCAACATTCTTACTTCCTCTAGAAGGCAGGAGAAAGGTCCACCGGCTTAGTGGATTAGAGATACCTACTGACCCCCCCACCCCGTGTCTGGCAGTCACTACCTTCTGGTGGACATGAGACAGTGGGTACACAACGTGCTGTCCTCCAGGACAGCTGCCCCCAACCAGGAACCTCAAAGAGCAATAATGCCTGCTTTCAGCTGACAGTGGTGTCTGTCAGTGAAGTCACCGAGCACTTAGGTGACACCTTTTCAGGAGTCACTGTCTTTTTTTTTGTTTTTTTGGTTGTTTTGGGGTTTTTTTTTTCTGTGTATGTGGTGCTGAGGAATCGAACCCAGGGCCTCAGGCATGCAAGGCGAGCGCTCTACCACTGAGCCACCGTCCCAGCGCAGGAGTCACTGTGTTGCTGGGGAACACAGCATTACGTCCCTGCTCTAGGGTAATGCGTGGAGCTGGCGCTTGAGTTCCTTGTGGTGGAGCTGCTCCCCACCAGCGTTTATCCCCAGTGAGGGGCCAAGCCAGGCTTGCACCAGAGCTCCTGCACCACCACCTTCCCTTTTTTTTTTTTTTGGCGGTCGTGGGGCTGAACTCCAGGCCTGGGTGCTGTCCCTCAGCTCTTCATCCCAAGGCGAGCGCTCTACCACTTGAACCACAGCACCACTTTTTCTGCTTATGAGGTGCTGAGGAACTGAACCCAGGCCTCATGTGTGCAAGGGGAGCACTCTACCCCTGAGCCACCTCCCCAGCCCCTCCACCTCCCTTTTATCAGCAACAGGGCATTGCAGGCTCTTGGCAGCGATCAAGAGGGGATGGAAGGCATGAATGATGATAGCAGTAGCTACAAGAAAGAAGTGTGGGGCAGGGACCAGGAAAGGAAGTGAAATTTCATTCAGTTTTGAAGGGCAGATAAAATCTGTGGAAAAAGAGATAGGAACCAAGATCCTTTGGAATATGGGTTGTGCCTCAATGAAGAAGAGCTCTGTAACTTCAGGAACCAGGAGGTGTGGGAGCAGCACAGGATCAGAGCCTTGAGGAGAAAACCATAAAAAGCCTTTAGAGTCAAACTCAGAAGGATACACTTGGTCTTCTAAGGCACTGGGAAGCTGTGAAGTCTCAGAGCAATGAAGTGCCAGTATCACCGTGGTAACATGGGACGGGCAGGCTATGGTGTCAGAGAGAGAGAGGAAGAAACACCACCTCCACCTGCCCACCCCCCAACCCCAGAATGGAGTGAGCCAACTGCATAAAGAGAAGCTGCATAACAGAGAACACCAAAGAGCATCAGCCAAGCACAGACTTCAGGCAAGTGGGAAGATGGGAGTCAACCCAATGAGAGCACAGGAAGGGCAAAACCAGATTTGAGGGTTTCTAGAATGTCCTCTCCACCCAGCACTGGGAAACCAAGGGGCTAAGCAGATGGAAGCAAAGTGAACTAGTACCTCTGGTAAGGACATCCCACCAAGACCACTGGCCCCAGGGCATGATCTACCAAACAAAAACCCTTCCTCTATAACAGGAAGCAGGCCTCCTGAGGGTGTTTCTGCACCCTTCAAGATGCAAGTGTCTGTAACATATCTCAGCAGGTGTCAGAAGACAGGACTACAGACAACAGGTGGGCTAGACCTACAGGAAAGCTGCTAACAGTGATTCTAGACAGACATCAGATGGCTTGAATTCGTTCTGCTTTCTGCCAGTCAATTTCTAAACGGTTCTATGAAGTGAATACATATGAGTCTTTTAGTGGTCAAGATATACATAAAGGAATAGTCAGTGATGCTAAGCTAGCGTCAGGCTTTGAGGAGAAGCAGGTGCCGTAGTCTTAGGAGCACTCAGGCCATGGGCTCTCTCTGCAGGGCCCAGAACATTCCTTCCTTTGGCCCATGATTCCAAGCAGCCTTCTCGACATAGCCCCTACTGTTCCCTAGCCAGAAAGCTTTCCTGACCTCTTTTCCAGCACTCACATTGGAGTGCCAGTGTGAGCCCATCACAAGGCAAGGGAGTATGTCAGGTGGGGGAGAACATGATTTGAGAACATGTGTCTTCCCATTCATCTAGTTAAGAAAAAGATTCACAGCTAGGGGCAATTTTGGCAGTATTATGTAGGAATTGTTTATTATCATGCTGGAAGGCTGACTCAAGTCCAGTGAGCAAAGGCCCAGGATATGGCTCGACACCCTGTTATCTGCATAAAAGCCCCCAGAAGAAAGCACTTGCAAAGCACTCTAACACTGAGCTACACACCAACCCAACTTTTCTCCTTCGTTTATTGATATTCTTAGTGTTTTTTCTAGTGGACATAATACAGAGAGACTAGTAATGGCCACCCATGTCAGGGCTGCCCTGTGACAAAATATCCTGAAAGGCAGTAGAAGAACACAGATGTGGGCTGGGAAGGCAGCTCAGTGCTAGAGTGCTTGCCTAGCCTGCATGAGGCCCTGGGTTCAATTCCTCAGCACTATATAAGCAGAAAAAAGCCAGAAGTGGTGCTGTGGCTCAAGTGGTAGAGCGCTAGCCTTGAGCGGAAGAGCTGAGGGACAGCGCCCAGGCCTAGAGTTCAGGCCCCACAACAACAACAAAAAAAAACCCCACAGATGCTGGCCACCATGTCATGACTCTCCAAGAGACACCTCCTGTTCCCCAAGAAGGGCCCAGGGGAATGGCATGCCATCAAAACAAGAAGCAATGTGTATATTGGGCAAACTAGGGGGTGGATGTGAAAGAAGGCTGGCTTCACCCCAATACCACAAGTTGAATATTTCTCACCTAAAATGCGTGGGATTTTTTCAGTTGGGAATATCTGTATACGTAAGTGAGCTATTTTGAGAAAGAGGTCCAAGTCTAAACATGAAATTTCTTTATGCTGAATGTATAACACATTTATACAAGCTTAAATGATTTCACATAGTATTCTTAGTGTGCCCTCATTTTAATTAGTCAGGTGAGATCAGTTGTGGAATTTCTCACTAAAGGCATCAGAGTGCTATTTAAACTGTAGAGCATTTCAGACTTCTGTAGTGAGAAATCTCAAAACTCCACAATCATTTAAACAAAACAAAAATTACATACTTAGGGCTGGGAAAGTGGCTCAATGGTAGTGTGCTTGCCTTTGCATGCATGAGGCCCTGGGTTCAATTCCTCAGCACCACATAAGCAGAAAAAGCTGTAAGTGGTGCAGTGGCTCAAGTGCTAGAGTGCTGGCCTTGAGCTGAAGAGCTGAGGGACAGCACCCAGGCCCAGAGTTCAGGCCCCACGACTGAAAAAAAAAAAAAAATGACAGACAGACTTACCAAAAGATCCTGTGTCCTCTGAATAACCACCAGTCTTCAAACGGTAGTACCTGACTTTCTTGGAGACCTTGTCCTTGGTGTCCCAGAGCCTCAAGGTGATCTTGTGGAAATTTATTTTCTTTAATAACTCCTTTGTCATATTGACATTGAAAGTTTGGCTCCATGACACCCAGATTTTGTTACCTTCTCGCCACGGCTTCACCGTCTGTATAAAACAACCATTCAGAGGCTGCAGAGTTCAACAGAAACTGCAGCCTACCCCACCAGCAACGGGGTTAGCACACTGCCCTCTACTGGCTATGTTCTGTGATTACCTCTCTCCTGGCTCTGAACTCACTGTGGGAAATGGGCATTATGTACTGGGCCCTGGCAGACCTCTGCATTTCTCAGGAAAAATAAAAAACAAAGAAAGAAAATTCATGTAAATAGTGTCCTCTCTGATTATTTCAAAGCAATAACGCAGGCCAAGTCACTGTTAGGAACAACAAGCAACAGTCAGGCACACGAAACACACACACACACACACACACACACACACATACACACCTCAAGAGCTACTGAAACTTTTTAACACCTTAAATAAAGTAAAAATACTTTAAGTAACCAATATATTTTTGGGGGGAAAGAATGGGGCTTGAATTTGGCCAGGGTGCTGTCCCTCAGCTCTTCAGCTTATGGCAAGAGCTCTACCACTTGAACCACAGCACCACTTCCAGTGTTCTGGAGATAAGAGTGTCATGGACTTTCCTGCCTGGTCTGGCTTTGAACCGTGATCCTCAGATCTCAGCCTCCTGAGTAGTTAGGATGACAGACGTGAGCCACCAGCACCTGGCAACCAGTATTTTTTGATGACTTCAGACTCTCACTCAGGAGGTCTGAGGTGACCCCAGGACCCTGCGCTTTAGCCAGTTCTGAGGCTGCCTGTGCTGCACAACACTCACAGCAATATTGTGACTACTGCATTCTGTACACAGTCAGACACCACGCACCTTTACTACTGATTCCAGGAACACTTTGGCAACTCCTGGAAATACCACTACATCAACTTTTTTTGGTTCTCCATCATCGGGCAGGAAGACATACTCAATGTGATAGAAACGGCGAGCTTTTGTAGTGCGATTGTCCGGTTTAGAGTGTTTCTTATGTTTATCAGTAAAATTTGTGTATTTTCCTTTTTGACCTAAAAAATACAGATTTAATGAGTCTCATTCTAATCTTGTATAATCTCCACAGACTCCTGGAGGCAAGAAAGAACACTATGGTTTGAAAATGTCCCCACGTTCACAACTAAGGGCTCAGTGCCCAGCTTGAGATGCTGCTGGGAAGGGTGGAACCATTCTGGGCAGAGCCTAGTGGAAGGAAGTGAGGGCACTGGGGGCAGAAGTAGGCCGCGCTCTCACAGGAGGCATTACAGGGGGCACTGGGGAGAGTGATTTTCCTGCGTTTTTCACAGTCTTTTGTTCTTTCTAGTGATGGAGATGGAATACAGGGCCTTGCACATTCAAGGCAACTGTACTACTACTGCACTGCACCTTTGCAAACCTCAGCTCTTCAGCTCAAGGCGAGCGCTCTACTACTTGAGCTACAGCACCACTTCTGGTTTTCTGGTGGTTTATTGGAAATAAGAGTTTCACAGACTTGGGGTGGGTGGGATGGGAAGGGATGAGAAGGGGAAACAAAGGAGGAGGCAACAATGCTTGATAAGAAATGTACTCATGGGGCTGGGAAGGTGGCTCAGTGGTTGAGCACTTGCCTTGCATACATGAGGTCTTGGGTTTGATTCCCCAGCACCACACAAGCAAAAAGAAAAAAGCCGGAAGTGGCGCTGTAGCTCAAGTGGTAGAGCCCTAGCCTTGAGCTGAAGAGCTGAGGAACAGCGCCCAGGCCCAGAATTCAGGCCCCACAACCGGACCAAAAAAAAAAGAAATGTACTCATTACCTTACCCATGTAATTGTAACCCCTCTGTACAGTATTTTCACAATTAAAAAAAAGAAAAAGAGTCTCATGGACTTTCCTGCCTGGGCTGGCTTTGAACCACAATCTTCAGATCTCAGCCTCCTGACAGGCGTGAGCCACCGGCATCCGACACCTCTAAGATTTTGAGTTGTCAATTTTTTTTAAATATGAAAGTTAGCCGGGCACCGGTGGCTCACGCCTGTCATCCTAGCTACTCAGATGGCTGAGATCTGAGGATTATGGTTCAACGCCAGCCTGGGCAGGAAAGCCCGTGACACTCATCTCCAATAAACTACTCGAAAACCGGAAGTGGCACCGTGGATCAGGCAGTAAAGCACTTGCCTTGAGCTGAAGAGTGCGGGGACAGTGCCCAGGCCCAGAGTTCAAGCCCCACAACCAACCAAAAAAAAAAAGAAAGAAAGAAAGTTGTAGAATAGAAGACTATGTGGGACCTAATTTTTCTTTCTTTCTTTTTTTTTTTTTGGTCAGTCATGGGGCTTGAACTCTGGGCTTGGGCACTGTCCCTGCACTCTTCGGTTCAAGGCAAGAGCTCTACTGCCTGAGCCACGGCGCCACTTCCAGTATTCAAGTGGTTTATTGGAGATAAGAGTCTCACGGACTTATCTGCCCGGGCTGGCTTTGAACCATGATCCTTAGATCTCATCCTCCTCAGTAGCTAGGATGACAGGTTGTGAGCCACCAGCACCCGGCTCTAATTTTTCTTAAATAACATATAAATATTTATATACTTACTATATATATTTAAGTATTGAAGGGAAATAATGGAACCTAGAATTTTATTTCCAGACAAAGGTATGTCAAAGATTTTGCAAGGTTTTGAAGATAAATTCTTCAAATGCCTTTTGAAGGAGTACCAAAATAAGAAAAGAAAATCTCAAGGGACAGGGCTAGTAATTCACATCATAACCCAACTACTTGAGTGCAGATCAGAATCATAGTTCGAGGCTAGCCTCGACAAAAAGTCCCATCTCAACAAATAAGCCAGGTGTGTTAGCACACATCTAAGTTATATGGAGGCATATGTAGAGAAAACATGGTCTGAACTCAACCCTGGGGAAAAAAATGAACCCTAACTGAAAAATAAAGCAAAAAATGAAAAGGGCATGACTCAGTAGCATAGCTCCTGCCGAGAAAGCACAAGGCTTGGGTTCCAATATTAGTTCTAGCACACAAAAAAAGAAAGAAGAAAGAAGGAAGGAAAGAAAAAAAGAAAGAAAGAAAGAAGAAAAGAAAGAAAGAAGGAAGGAAGGAAGGAAAGAAAAAGAAAGAAAGGAAGAAAGGAAAGAAAGAAAGAAAGAAAGAAAGGAAGGAAGGAAGGAAGGAAGGAAGGAAGGAAAGAAAAAGAAAGGAAGGAAGGAAGGAAAGAAAGAAAGGAAAGAAAAGAAGGAAGGAGGGAGGGAGGGGAGGAAGGAAGGAAGGAAGGAACAAAGGAAGGAACAAAGGAAGGAGGAGGGAGACCTGGGAAGGTGGCTCAGTGGTAGAGCGCTTGCCTTGCATGCATGAGGCCCTGGGTTCAATTCCTCAGCACCACATAAGCAAAAAGGAAAAAAGCCGGAAGTGGCACTGTGGCTCAAGTGGTAGAGCGCTAGCCTTGAGTTGAAGAGCTGAGGGACAGCGCCCAGGCCCAGAGTTCAGGCCCACGAATGGACCAAAAACAAAAAAATGGAAGGAGGGAAGGAAAGAGAAAGAAGCAGCAAGTGTAATATTAGGGATATAAGGGCCAGTGAGGAAAGATGCCAGGCATATGTGGCTGAAGACTCCCAGGAGGAAGTCAGTAATGCTGTCTTTCTGGGAGAGAATTCTGGAATTCTGCCGAGGCACCTACCTGCATTTGCTGGGAAGGCAAGCGAAATAACGAATTTGCAGGGGACGACCTGGGGTGCGTCTGAGTCAAAGGTGCTGGCGGTCTTGAATGAGGAGTCCATACTGAAGTGGTCATCAGAATCTGACTCCTGGGCCCTGGCCTTGGCCCTGAGGTATTCTTCCACGTCGCAGTCACTCAGGGACTTGTAAAAACTTGCCAGAGGAGAGATGGGTTCCATGCTTCCCTGATCCTCATCTTCTTCCCACTCCCAAGCCTGCAGAGACATACCTGCAGAGTGTCCACCAGACTGGCAGTCCTGCCTGAGAGAAAAAGAAGACTCCATCACCATCTGCCCCAGGAGTGAGCCCTGTCTCCTATAGGAAGACCACTTCCATGCCCTGCTCTGCCTCACCCTATGAACTGCCTAGACCTGACTCATTGCTAGTCTTAGATTCCAGGGTTCAACATACTTGGGGAATGAATGGGTGAAATAACCACTGACATGGCAGCTGGCATCTGATTTCTCTAGCTGCCTCTTCTTTCACAAGTCAGGAGTTAGTCTGGCACCAGTGGCTCATGCCTATAATTCTAGATACTCAGGAGGCTGAGATCTGAGGATTTCAGTTCAAAGTCAGCCTAGACAGGAAGGTCTCCAATGAACCACCACCAGAAGTGGAGCTGTGGGTGAGTGGCAGAGGACACTCAGCCCCAGCTTAGCAGCACATGCTCCTCCTCACCTGGGGCTTACTCAGAACATGGAAGGCAGGGAATCCTCTGGCTTTGTTTCACTGTTGCCAGGAAACCCAGGACTGGGCTGTTGGGGCTCTAGCCCTCCCTCCTGATGCCAAGGCTCCTGCCAGCTGCAGCACAAACATGAACTCTGCACACAGGTGTATCCAGATTCTCTGAAGCCACTTCCTTCATTCACTGATTCGTTCTATCTTTAAGACATTCTTACTCTGGATAAAAGCACCTGTCGTGCAGCTGGCTTGGACCTGTACTGTGGAGGCAGGAGATCTGCAGGGCCCTCCCTACAGCTCATTTATTTCTCATTGCTTATTTATTTGTGTGTGTGTGTGTGTGTGTGTGTGTGTGTGTGTGTATACATATATATGTGTGTGATGCTTGTGAGTGTGTGTGTGTGTGTGTGTAAAACTAGAGTTTGAACTCAGTACTTTCTGCTTGCTGGAAAGGTGCTCTACAACTTCAGCCACAACTACAGCCCATTTTTTTTTGGTCAATCATGGGGCTTGAACTCTGGGCCTGGGTGCGGTCCCTGAACTCTTCAGCTCAAGGCTAGTGCTCTACCACTTTCAGCCACAGCACCACTTCCGGTTTTCTGGTGGTTTATTGGAGATAAGAGTCTCACGGACTTTCCTTCCCGGGCTGGCTTTGAACCTCAATCCTCAGATCTCAGCCTCCTGAGTAGCTAGGATTACAGGCTTGAGCCATTGGCTTCCAGCCACCCCACCCATTCTTTAATAAATTTCAAGGAAGTAGTGGTCTCGCCATATTCAGATACATGCACACCCAAACATAATCTTGTTATATTTTCTACTTGTGTCTCAACCTGAATTTATCACAAGACCCAACTCAAACAAGAGAAATTGGGCTTAGAGAAGTGAAGTTTAAAGTGGTTCAAGGTTACACAATGCCTGTGCAGCAGCACTGGCTTGAAATCTAGACTCCAGATGCCAACGCTTGGACTCCTCTGTAGAACCCTGAAAGCACAGTAGGCAAGCCACAGTGTACCCAGATTCACAAAGCTAAAGAAACAGGCTCTCTGCAGAAGGGGGTGGGCCAAGGCACACTGCAAAAGGACAAACATCTACAAACCCAGAGCTGAAGTCACTCATAGCCTGACTTTGCTTCATTCTTCCTCCCAAATGGGAATGTGCTAAGTGTCGCAGGGCTGGCAAAGGCTTCGTGAAGCCATTACAAGATACCAGTAGAGGGCTGTGAAGGTGGCTCAGTGGTAGAGTGCTTGCCTTGCATGCATGAGGCCCTGGGTTCAACTCTTCAGCACCACATAAGCAGAAAAAGCCAGAAGTGGCACTGTGGTTCAAGAGCTAGAGCGCTAGCCTTGAGCTGAAGAGCTGAGGGACAGCGCCCAGGCCCAGAGTTCAGGCTCCAAGACTGGCAAACACAAAAAGCAAAAACAATCAAAGCCAGGCACCAGTGGCTCATGCCTATAATCCTAGCTACTCGGAAGGAAGAGACCTGAGGATCACGGTTCAAAGCCAGCCCAGGCAGGTAAGTCTATGAGAGTCTTACCTCCAATAAACCACTAGAAAACCAGAAGTGGCACTGTGGCTCAAGTGGTAGAGTGCTCCCCTTGAGCTGAAGAGCTGAGGGACAGCGCCCAGGCCCAGAGTTAAGGCCCCATGACCAGCAAAAAAAAAGACACCAGTAGTTGAAAACACTTTAGAGAACAGCTACCAATCTTAGCCAAAACAGTGCCACCCTTTTTCAATGGGGTATAAATAAATAAATAATGCATAGATAGGGGCTGGGAAGGTGGCTTAGTAGTAGAGCGCTTGCCTTGCATGCCTGAAGTCCTGGGTTCAATTCCTCAGCACCA